AGCAAGCTATGAATATCATTTCAATATACCCAGTAATCCGTTAATACTTAGTCACTGATGTAGTACACAATTTTCATTGTAATTGCATCGAGCGCAAATTGAATCTGACAAAGGATGTACGGCTTCCATTTGATACTTTAATTATTAAACGGAATATAATGACATTTTCATATTAAAGATTTTTATGATAGAGGATGACCGACAAATATGTTTACTGCATATAAATTGCAATAGCCCAGGTATACATATAGCATATTAGATACGCTGTGGGCCACGTTAATCCACTCGTTAGTCCACACGCGATGTCAGGTTTTTCATGTTTTTAACTTTTAGGTTTTTAAGTTAGATGCATAAGTAGTGATAATTATTATTAGAAATAGATCTTTTTAAATTATGTATGTAGTTGTGGTCTCCCCGTGACCACGGCTGCTGCAAAGCATCCGAAACGTCGGGCCGAAGTTAAAAATCATTTTCAAATCAGTTTAACTAATATATCGCATTTTAAACCGTTGTGTTTTATTTAAATGTGTACTACTCGTGTAAACTATATACAGTATTTAAGTCTTGTATAAATAAATTAAATAGTATAAATTAATAAGTAAAGTAAAAATTAATAAATAAAGTAAAAAGTAATAAATTAAGTAGTTTGTATCCCGCTCGATATTTAGATTCTCCCACATCCTTGTCTATTAAATGTCTAAATAATATCTACGTATAGTCTTGAGGTAAGGTAGACATCAGATTTTATAATCGAAACACTATCCCAAAAAACGGCATACCTCTAAATGAGAGGACGCCGTGAGGGAGTTCTGTAGTAACGTAGCAAATTCGACTGATAATAATCATTGAGTCGTGGGTCCGATCCTCAGCTTACGGGACAGTAAAGGGAGTCAATTATCATATGAGAGGACCGTTTGGAGGTCTAGGCTTGACCAGACTGAGGCCGATGGGGCTGCAGCAACACATAGATAAATAGTTGACCAATATTTTGTCTTCCCGACCAAAAAAATCTGGTTGTTCCAGGATTTGAACCCGAGTCCTCCTACGCGTTGCAGTGCTACACGTTTGACCCTTCATTATGGAGGTTAATTAAAGAAAAAACACGGGTTTTTCTAACATTTTCCAGTTCGAGTTTTTCTCGGTATTTTTCAGCACAAGTCATTTATCGAGAGAGAAAGTTTAAAATTGACGGACTTCCTTTGAGAGGAAATGTGGAAAAGTCCGATTTTATTGCTTTCCACGCTTACGAACCGGGCCATGCATTTTATTGGTTTATATTGAATTTCCTCTCAGCTTTCATTATGTAAAGGAAAAACGTACTTGAGTTTGCCACCTATTTAAAAATGTTCAATAAAAGAATATAATAGTAAGTTTGAAGTTAAAATCTATGAGCTTTCATTAAGTAAATATATAAAACTAGCCATGTCAGCGACTTCGTCCGCGAGAATCGTTATTTTGGGCAACCAAATTCGTTTTTGCAATCTCCTTTTTCATCTTTATAAACTTAAGCTGTTGTCCACGACGTCGGTCGGTATCCTTCCCGTCGTTGTTGCAATTTTAAATAATAGACATATAGCGTCGTGGACTTTTTTAGATTATTTATAGAGAAATTATACTTTGATACATATTTTTGGGTATCTTGAACCGTTTTTGTAGTGTCCGCCTCGGAAATTCCTATACTAATTTCTTGTTGCTAAACGCATTTTGAAAACTTAACTGTTCAACGAAAAAGTCTATGGCGATTCTATTGACTAATAAGCTCTTTGTCATTTCACAATATGCGTTTGATTACAAAACTGCGCTGCGTGTTTCCAGAAACAATGTAATAGTGTTTTGTAGGCACCTTTTGGGCGTTGTTTGAGTGAGATGGGGGCAGACCCCTCAACCCTGGGTGTCATGAAGGGGGCTTGTGGGGTTTAATAGAGATAGATCTATTCAAATTGTAACGGACAGTTGGTCATAGCAACAAGATAAGGAACGTATGATGCCTGCTTTCATTTTATGTAAAAACAGCGATTGTCGACCTATTTTGGCTTTAGATAATCGTATCATTAAAATAACGCCATCTAGCGAGAATAATAGTTCAAAGCGAAACTAAAATTGAAAGAATCTATTAAAGTATTACGCGTCGCGAGCACAGAAGTTTGACTAATATATATCGCGTTTTAAACCGTTAAAGTGTTTAGTGTACTCGCGTTAACTACAGTATTTGCTTAGGTAAATATGCGTAAAGACATTGTTGAATTGTCCTCTATTAAAATCTGTTACATGAGTCAAATGCGGAATACCAAGTACAATTTACAAGGTTCAATTCCCGCGTGGCTTAATTGGATTCCCTGTTAATTACTTACTCCAGTCAACCTCATGTCCTTGATTACGAGCGCATCTGAATAGCATTACTAGGAAACTATGCGCCATCTACTAATATTATTATGTCTCCTCAGCGAAGATCTCTGTCTCAGAATTATCCCGACATTATCCCAGATTACTAATCGTCTAAATCAGAACACGATTATGAGGAATAATACAATAATCATTACAAATTCATATCACATTCCTTTAAAACGTAAAAGCTCAATCGTTTATTTAGAATAAGCTGACCTGGCTAATCTATACTAATATATAAAGCTGAGGAGTTTGTGTGTTTGAACGCGCTAATTTCAGGAATTACAGGTTCGAATTGATAAATTCCTTTCGTGTCGGTTAGGTAATTTACCGAGGAAGGCTTTTATATTAATAAAACAAACGCCCTATGTCAAATAGGAGAGAAGATACAGCGAGAAGTGTGAAAAATTATTCAACGTTATGGGTTTCCGAGGCGAACGCTGCAAATACGGTTCACGATACCCAAATAGTACGTATGAAAGAATGATTCCTCTTTAAATGACCAAAAACAAAAATCCGCGACGCTATATGTCGCGTTTTACGACGTCGGTCGCGTTTCTTCCCGTCGTTCTTGCAAGTTAATCTTAAAAGAGAAATTATATCTTGCGGACATTTTTTTTTAGATACTTTAAAGAAGAATTTTTTTTCATACGTGTTGAGAAGAGAAATACGAGTAGGACTTAAGAATCTATTTCACGTATATTTCCACTTCTCTGCAGAAACTATTTTATTTCACGAAGATTTCAATTCTATCGCTTTTAACCATTAAGGTTTAGAGATTATTAACATTTAACTTTAAATATATACATAATATTAAACAACACATATTTTTCAACTATGGTGTAACGCATCCGAAAAGTCGCAAATAAATTATTTAAATGTGTATCGATTGTAAGCCATTAAAATTAAATTATTTAAATGTACGCTATTCATGAAATTATAGAAGGTAAATTTTTTGAAGATATCTTAATTATTCTCCTCTTACAATATCGAAGCATTCACGTGTATTGATTTTCCACCTACATCAACCAATTATTGGAGGATTAAATCGGAAAATTCCTAAATAGCCTCGCTCCTAGTGAAGGCATTAATTAATTGTACTTGGAAAAAGAAATGGATGTTTATTTGACTGAAGATGTTTTCGAGTATATTTTTAAAATACCTTTTTTGTTTACGTTTAGTTGCCTCGCGAGGAAAATCGGACGGAATTTTCCAGATCTCTTAAAGAAAATATTAAAGGAATGAAAGTTAATTAAACAATCGTTGACGACGCTAGTTTTTCAATCTGTGGCAGACACTGTATCTGTTACACTAATCATTTTTATTTCCAGGGTCACTTACAAGGACTCGCTCGACCGAAAAACATTTTCGTGCGATTCGAACCCAGGATCTCTTGTGGTTAAGGCATTATTTTGAGGTACATAGGCATTCTCACTGTATGCAAAAAACAAATCAATATCTTGATTTGTATTTCTAAAGAGATTATGAAAAAGATTATTAATTAACAAAGTAAAAAAAAAACAAATAACAAAAATTCCGTTTCGCTGCGAACGTCCGATATTTCCCTGTGACGTGCCATTTTCCGAGAACTTTCCCTTTGAGTAAAATGCACCGAGCTTTTCAATTATGTTGTGAAAATTTCCAGAAATCACATCAATAATGTGCTCTGTGCGGCGGAAATTAATTTGGCATATCATGTGGTGTAACAGCGCCATCTTTGTCGTTCATTTTAAAATTGGAATATTGTTAACCCTTACAGGACTATAAGATGGCTAAGACTAAATATGCGAATATACAATATTTTAACTATTTTTGGGTGTAAAATATAGTGTATAATATAAACGACCGAGTCGGTAGCTCAATTGGTAGAGCAACAGCACGGAACGCTGACGATGCCGGTTCAAGTCCGGCCCGTGTCGAAACATTTTTCGTTAAAAGAAATGTCCGCGACAGTATATGTCTATCTATTTAGATTAACTTGCTAGAACTATGGGACGCGGACGACGTCTTATGTAACAGCTTAAACAACCATGGGACGCGGACGAAGACGCTGACTCAGCTAGTATATTAAATATATTACGTGATGATTAAACATTAAATTCTCTATAATACGAAGTGTTTATTTCATATTTCACCTTCTATTGAAATCGAATACAAAATCAAACAAAACCAGGTACATGCCAAATCTCGATATGCATTTCTAGTTATTGTTTGCGATTAAATTCACGAACAATTATTGTATTCGAGCGTAACTGTGACTGACAATTTCATCGAATCATTATTTGTACTCAACGCACACACAAACATAAGCACATATAAATTAAACACTTGTTAAGTTAACTTATAATAAAATAAAGTTAACTAACATATTGCACGTGTTTCATTTTAATTACAGCCCTTACATGTCGTTTTGTGTTTGCTTTCGTTTCGGAAAATTAAAAAAAAATAAGTTAACGATATTTATTTAACACCAAAACAACGCTAGTTAGCCCTACGTCTAGCTTATTTCAGCTAGACGTAGGGCTGTAGGCGTGTGTCGTCCAAGGAAACAGTTTTATTTTTAATTTTAAATGGACTTTTAATGTATTACGAGTATATACTTAAGTTGACATTATTTATCCCATAAAATTAGGTCTACCAGACCGAAATTCACTGACAAATCTAAAATTTTTCAACTTCACTCGAAATTTTCCCTTCTTCTTCAGCCGGCCCATCCTCTGCAACGTCCTTATCGCTGGCAAGAATCTGTAGAGGCCATTCATTTCATCACCCATGCAGAAGAGGAATGAAGATTCGATGTAGGCTGAATAAAATATGTTATTAGTCGTTGATTCAATACTGTCTGTAGTTTACGCATGTTCATACTCAAATAAAACATTGTAACGGTTTAAAACGCGATTTTAAACAGCGCAGGACGTCGTGCCGTAGTTAAAATTTTCAAATTAATGTAACTAATATTTATTTCGTTTTAAACCGTCAAAGTGTTTTAAACCAATGACGCACAGATGGACCCGTGTCTCCTTTATTGTGTAAGAGTTTAGCCCCAACACGATTCAGTGTGGGTTGGTTGGTGGGTATTGAATACCGCCACTAAATAAGTGATGATGATCGGTACCGACGGGCTAACGTGCTCACCAATGAAACGACATAAAAGTTACAAATTTAATTTGTACGGCTGGTAGTATCATTATCATTTTAGATAAATTAAAAATGTATTAAAATTGAGTTAATTGTGCGACACGCTAGACTTGGTCGGTGTCCACAGCACTCCTCTAACTCTCTCTCCTTTTTCCATATCATCCGTCAACCTAGCAATATGAACAATGCTTCCACAGATATGATAAAGACTTTGTGTCAATATCAAAGCGCTACGTAATTATTCTCTTTATTTAAAAGTCTACAGACTAAATCCTAAACGCGAATTATATTTACGCTTTTTTCATCTGTGGCTGTTGGTTGACTCAGGAGGAATTTTATTATACCTACCACTTATTTTAATATCTAGATCGAAAAATTATAACGATTAGAAACAAGCTGGATCTTATAGGATTCGAACCCACGATGCGTCTATAGATTTAAAATGTGATACTTGCATTGCCATCATTCAACTTAATAGCAACATTACCACAGATAAAAAATATTCTCATTTATCTCAATATCAAAGCACGACGACGTGTTTAATTTATCTGTGCTTTCTCTCATCAGCGACAACAGAATCTACCTTTAAATCAACACACCTTGAACAACAGATACGCCACAGCGGACGTAATATCAAATTAATATCCGACATCCAGTGCTTTGACATTGACATGTGTTGTATAACGGCCTGCAATTGAACAGTGTGTCAACACCGCTACACCCCTGAGCAAAATGTAGCGTCATGGCAGAGTGTTATACGGTAGGTAAGTTAAGTTAATAACACTGAATATTCTTTTCAAATTTTAAACCTTTTCGTGGATGCATGGTTTTTATTTATAATAGATCTATTCTAATGGGTACAAACCCATTGATAAACTTAACAGAATCATACTTATGCTATATAAATATTTAAAAAGTAAGACACTAAATTTTATGTAGATGTCTCAAAAAGGCTTGCTTTTGTTTATTCACCTAAGCTGTAGGTAAAAATGTTATCTCCACCTGTGGCTTGTTAATAACCCGCTTAGCCCGAAAAAGACGGGATTTTTTAAAATATGGTAGCACAAGGAACGGTGGTTGTTATCGCCGCCACGCGTATCGGTCCTGAACAGACAAATGTACGAACTGAATAACTCCTGAGTACAATTTTCGACCCCAAAATACCTTTATCAGATACATGAGGAGAAATAAGTCCCGGCGCACCTTTAATTCTCTCAGTAATACCTACCTTTCATTTATCCAGTGACAAATATTAAAAATTTTAAAACATAGACAATTAGTCTTGCTTACATATTAGCAATAAATATTATTTAGGGTCGGTTATATAGAAACTAATTTATATTGCCAATTGTCTGCTGTTACATTACAAATGATATTGCATACCATATTTTCGTTTACCATGATCCGTAACACCGATAATATAGAACATTACTATATGTACTACGTAAAAGAGTTATTGAGTGCCCTGTTTGCTTTTACAACAGCAAAATGTTTGTTTATTTTCACAAATAAATCCTTTGAGAGATTATTGACAAAGTATGAAAGTCCTTTTTGGGGTTTCATCTAAGCTAGACTTTCAAACGCTGGATTATTTTCACGCTTAGCGTCGGATAGCCAATAATAAAGTTTGTGAGTAGAGTTTAGTCAAGTTCTTTTAACTCGCTAGCTTAGACTTTAGAGAAATGGGAGTACATCGTTATTTATAAAACTAGCTGTGTATGCGACGTTATTCGCTTAAAACAGTTATTTAGGGCATCCAAATTTGTTTTTGCAAACCTTTTTTTTTTCATATTTATACATTTAAACTGTTACTCACGTCGTCGGTCGTTCCTATGACCTTGCAAGTTAATCTTAAAAGATAGGCCGATCGATAGGGATGCGGATATTTTTTCGATAATTTTAAGAGGAATCATTCATTGCTACCTATTTTTTCGGTATCTTGAACCGTTTTCGGATTGTACGAATCGGAAAACCACAAAGTTAGTAATTTTCCCCGCTTTTCCACATTTCCCGCTGTTTCTTCGCTCCTATTAGTTACAGTATTTACTACTCAAGAACGGTTAAACATTGACTTAAAATCTGTGGGAACATAACTCGTTTCCAAAAGTTATATCCAACATTTCCATAGCAGAGACAGAAACAGCGAAAAGTCTGCCCCACGACTCATGTTGAGAAAAGAATTGATTATTAAATTTTACAATAATAATGTCTCAAACTCCCCTATATAGTTTATTTTTAGACTTCTTTATAGCGTATTTGAGAACCATAATATTTACCTTTTTACTTCTTTATGTATATCTAATAAATTTGTCTTATAGATAATATTTTTATGGAGACTTAACTAAGAGTAAGTGTTTACGTGTTTTTACTGTGTATTATGTCTTTATACAAACTATATTTAAATAAAACACTTTAACGGTTTAAAACGCGATATATTAGTTAAACTTATTTGGAAATGATTTTTAACTTCGGTCCGACGTTTCGGAGGCTTTGTAGCAGCCGTGGTCACGGGTCAGTCTCCCCGTCGGGCCGAAGTTAAAAATCATTTCGAAATAAGTTTAACTAATATATCGCGTTTTAAACCGTTAAAGTGTTTTATTTAAATATGTACTACTCGCGTAACCTAGAGACAGTATTTACAAATCTATAGTCAACGCTGTGCATGTGTATAAGTTAGGTATTAAAGAATGCTTACTATAAAAAACTTAAGTAGTTTAAACATGTTTGCGTACTTAGGTTCGACGGGCTCGTTGGTTTGATTGTGGCTCATCATTAACGGGTCGTGGAATCGATCTCCACCGGCTCCAACATGTTCCTAATATTTCTGAAACATGTTGGATTTCGTCTGGAAATCTGGATATTACATTGTTATATAGAGATTCCGTCCGGTTCACGAACCACCGTCCACAGATGAAAAAGCCGTGAAGCTTAATCGCGTTTTGGTTTCAGTCTTTGGATTTCCGAATATCCAAAGCCAAAATAGGTCAACGGCGCATCTTGTTTAGGTGCTATAGGCTAGGGTATGTCACCTACCATCAAGTGATCATGCTCGTCTATCCTTCTCTATCACTAAAAAATAGCCTTTTAAAAAAATACACTCACAAGAGCTATGTGACGTGCTACTCTTGTTTTCCCAGAACATTTTACACTGCGCGACGTCCATGAAGCAATGGTTCTTGAACATCAGCGCTGGCTCTCTAGCCATGATGCCGGCTACTCCACAGACTGGCGCGTATGTGTCAGGACATTTCTGGAACATTCCATTCTTTTAATCATAAGGAGCTTTAAATTGAGGCTGCTAGAGCCAGAGTGGCCTAGTAACAAAAAACTTAATTTTGAAAAAGGAGGAAAATTAAATACGCAGTTAACTTAGGCGAAAATTAATTTGTATTTTAATGTCACTGTGCTCTTGTAGATTAACATTTTTAAATTATCAAAAATAAATAAATCACGTCATAAAATTGCAGTTAGGCTATTCTGCCTCTAGCGGCCTCAATTTACTAGTTTTTTTTTAACCTGTCGTGCTATTTGGTCTATGGCATTGTACCACATATTTGTATATTGTATATGTACAATATGTTGTGTATATTGTACAACATATTTACTGAAGAGTTATTTGCTTGTTTGAACTCGCTAATCTCAGCTACTAATTTGAATAAATAATACAGCTAGTTTGTAATAAATTCATTTTTCGAGAATACGTTCTACTTCGTTTTAAACTCTGCATATTAATGGGTGGTAGGAATATAGAAATTTCGTCCGGGTGAAGAACCTGCATCTATAGACAAAAAGCCGTGAAGTTTAATCGCGTTACCATTCTGTGGACATCCGAATACCCAAGCTAATATAGTTCGACATTTTAATTGTACACCGTGTCTGCATGAACTTTTAATGTGCATAAACAGAATTTAATTGAGAAGATGGATATTATTGAGCTCTCCATCATTCTATCCTCGAGCACTGAATGGATTTTTCAGACAATAATAACAACATGGGTGTTGCTATGGAAATCTGTCTGTCTGCAAAGGGCTGCTCCGCCAATTATTAGATTCGAGAGCTAAGTGATTCTTGTTAAAAACGCTACATTTTTAACTGGATCAAGTTTCAATAAAACACTGTTCACCATGTAAAACGCAAATTATATTAGTAACCTTGCATCTGGATTCTTGGGCCGTAGTTAAAGCAAATTTTAAATACCACTATAACTATATATTTTAAGTTAAGTGGAGTGAGTGACAAACAAGAGTGGCTTGAGTTTTTAAAGTATCACGTCAGGTATTATGTTAATAACTTTATACCGAGTTTTATTTATATAATCCAGAAAATGCATTTACTTTTCAAATCCCTATAACAAGATAAGAAGTAAAGAAAAGTCACATACGCTGAACGTGGGGCAGACAATTGTTGTTCGATTTAAATAAAACACCTTAACGGTTTAAAACGCGATATATAAGTTAAACTTATTTGAAAATGGTCACGGGGAGACTACGGCTGCTGCAAAGCAGCCGAAACGTCGGGGCGAAGTTAAAAATCATTTTCAAATAAGTTTAACTATATCGCGTTTTAAACCGTTAAAGTGTTTTATTTAAATGTGTACTACTCGCGTAAACTATAGACAGTATTTAATTGTTGTTCCGTTTTACGTTCCCTAGTTCCTATTATAAACTTCTGTAATTTGATCCCTGGATGAGTCCAGGCTGAGGCCACTTATCATGAGGTTATGTGATGAACTTATGAGCCGCGCCGACGGTATTAAGTGAGGGTACACTTAAATTATCAGATAATATCCAGCGTATGTTTGAAGCTTTTATGTGTTTCATATATTACTTGGTGTGTTCGCGACATAGTCCGCGTGGAATTTTCGGCATCATATACTTGTTTATTTTTCCTATCTCCTTTAAATATTAAAGCTGTTTCTCACGACGTCAGTGAAATTTTCAAAGAAGAATCATTAAAAGATGAATAATTCTTTCCTACATGTTTTTTAGACATTTTGAACTGTCGCAGCGCAACGCAACGAAAACTACCAAAGATGAACAATTTTCCCTGTTTGTTCTACATTTCCGACTCTTATAGTCTTCACCTATAAATGCTCTAACCAAAAAAAGAAAATTTCAATTCAAACCAGTAGTTCAGTTTCGTAGAGATTGGCGCATTCACACAAATAAACTATTCAGCTTTATATATTAGTATAGATTACGTACAGTAGGACATTTGTGGTAGCAAGTCGACAGTGTAGGTTGATGCCAAGTGTCATTCTGCTTTTCCTTTGGTATGACAATAAGCGGCACAAAGATCTTAACAGGACCCGCGTTCTTTATAAGACGCCGTCTGGTATTGTGCGGATCCATTTCTTTCACCGGCAAATCAAAAACGTGAGTTCCAGCGAAGAAATTGTCTATGCTCTCGTTAAAATTATCCGATCGACCTAGCATACCGCCACTCACGACAACAAGGTTTCTTATTGTGTCAATTTGATTATTAACATCTGTATTTTCGATAGCTGATTTACATATAAAAAGATCGGTTTTTATATATTGCGCGTTGTTTTCGCAATTGTGATTTGCCATTTCGCATTTATTAGTGAATTCTTTTATTCTATAGCCATCGCCATCTTCTCTTATGCCACAGACTTCATCTATCTTCTGTTCATCGCAGTTATGGCGACAGTTATTTTTCTCGATCATTGAATCTTCAATCGTTTTAAAATCTTCAATTAATCGTTCATTGTTGGTTGTGTTAGAGAATGCTCGAGTACAATATTCCATATTGATTAGCCCATATGCTGAAGTACAAAAACCTATATTATATAATGACCAAGCACAAGATATATCTTTAATTTATTTCTTTACTATGTTAAATTACAAAGATGGTAAGTTATCTTCATTCAGTTTTAACTACTGTAATTAAATCTAAAATTCTGAACTTACTGTATTTACATATAATTAAATAAATGTAATAATTAATTAACTATTTTCAGGAAAAAAATATCGGTGTAAGTACTTTGTAGTTCATGCGTAATACAGATTGCGAAAAGTTAAACTTAGCACTTAGCTTTGCAGAAGCCGTTGCCGTAAGCAGATTTTTTGACTTATACATTTCGCGTTTTAAAACCGCGTAAACAACAGACTGTACTGTCACAGACAATATTTAACTCTATTTAGTCAATTAGTTATTATAAATATACTACCAACAAACAAACATATTTTTATATTTTGTTTTTTATCCGTCGTACATAATCCGACGGAACCGTTCTAGAACATTCTCCCTGACTGACAGAAAATACACGAGACAATGGCAGTATTAACTATGTCAATAAATTAACTAGAACTAAGTAAAAAAAACTAAGTTATAATATAACCAGCCAGTATTTTATCGATATACAGATGCAAAAATCTCACACAGTAAACAGAACAAAGTTTCACAGATAACTATAACATTACGGAACAACTTAAACAACACTCGACAACAATTTCATATTCATCGCTAACTTGAGTACACCCTTCAAATCGACTTGTTGCTTTGAAAGCTGCTTTTCTCGAAATAACGTAAGCCGATAAAAGCTCGCTCTCCCACTGTTTCCCCTTGCCCTAGGCACTATGTTAAACTTAGGGCACAAGTATTTAGTTACCCCACTATAGTTTTAGAATGTTAATTGTAAATAGAACTATGTGATAACTTTTATAATACCCTTTTATGTCAAAGAACAATTTATTAAAATACGAAATAATATTTATGTCTTTGTGTTGTATTCTGGTACTTAGTACAAAAGTTTTAATCCAATATTTAACTTTAAAAATAATGTGGTCTATAACTATTTATTACACTACGATGTTCAAGAAATCAATAAACTTTTCTCGACCACTATCCCTCAGCCGGTGGCCGGCTCAAGTCCTGTCTGTGTCGTAATTTTTTTCTATTTATAATCGATTTTTAATTTATATAGAGCCATTAGCTCCAATAACATATAAAAAATATTAAAGTTTTCAAACATCAGATCCCTATTTAAAAATTTAATTATTTAAGATTGAGTTTTAATGCAGTAAAGTGGCTGATTATTCGTCAAGCCGTAAGATCCCGATCTATCACAGGTTTGACTTCCGACTGTGATTTCTCTCTTCATCTTTACCAAAAAAGGCGATATTTGCTTAATATAATATTTATTTTACTTTGTTCTACCGAATTAACATTATGTTATACCGAAACGACTCAAGAATTAGTTCTCTCCAATAATAGGAAGATATTTTGTTACGCACCCAGATTTTCACTTACTCCACAACCATACATTAACAAGCGACACTCATCCTCAAATAATTTTAAACGTACGCCATCTTTTTCATCCCGTATGCCACATACTTCAATGTTAGTATTTGTGCATTGAAGTTCTCGGCAAAATTGTATTTTCTCAGAGTCATAAGTACTTGCGAGAGATGTTGCGTATAAAAGGAAATAACGATACATCGGATTTAGTTTTCCGCTTCACTGACTGTTTAACTGTCGTTTCATATATGCAATTTTCAATTTTATAGCTTTATTTTCAACATATATCTGTTGAGTCTTTAAAATATACATATCGTATGAAAGCAATAATTATAAAACTGTATGTAATATCTTTTGATAACAAAGTTCTTTAAACAAAAAACAATTATTGCTTTATTTGTTGGGTATGCTTAAATATTTTCAAATCGAGGCTGATTGGTAGTCCATCGTGCAACCAAATTATATTATTGTGACACGTAAATAGATGTTTTACGGGATTTAGTATATTGTGTTCGCTTGTACGTCTTTTTAAATGCCTTCATCAATTTAGCCTGTGTCACTAACAATAAAAAGATGAAAAGTTTGTTTGTTAGTTTGAACAGGAGCTACTGGTTAGAATTAAAAAAAAATTATGTCTTAATTTACCCATTCATCGCGGAAGGCTGTAAAACATCGGGCTGATACCAACAGCGTATAAACAGTGCTAAATATGAGTATAAGAAACGGGGAGAATTTTATCTTTGAGGTATTCTGTTCCGAGCTCCGAGAAAAAGGTTCATGATACGTTTTTTTGTAATCAAATTTAATCGAAATAATTTATATGACGAAAGAACGATTTCCAGGTCACTAGTACTTTTCATAATAACAACAGTAAGCATAATATTATGTATAGCTTCTATGTATGGAAAATGTAATGCTACTCTGTAAATATGCATATATCTGTGGCAAACTATACTGTCAATGTTAACTCTCATTTTGACAGCATCAAAGTCGTACTCACAATAGTCAATGTCTAAAATGGATTTTGATAATTGTATTTCAATAAAACGTAAAGTTTAGTAAATTAGGTTATGATTAAGATTTTTAAAATAATTAATTTTTTATAATTTTTTTATTAATAAATATATTGTAATTATCTTAATAAAGACATTGTTAGAATCAGTTTTAATTAATATAGTTAGGAGTCTAATATCATTTAATAAGGCTGATTAGAATGTTGAAGAATTCTATTGAACTAAATAAAAATGTCCTCGAAAACAGATATAATTAAAACGAAGACTGTTCGGGTTTTCGATTTAGATGATTATGAGAAGTTGCTCCGAGGCATACAAGTAGCAGCATGCATGATTACAGAGTCACATCAAATCGGTAAGTACAGTATATTTTCTTTATATTTACCTTGTAGCTTATCACTATGATGGTGTTAGAAAAAAGAAAATTCTTATACAATTGTAGCCTTCCTAAAAGAAATACATACTATTTCTTTTAAATATTAAAGTATTTTCATGTTGCACAATATACTGTAATGTGTAACACTGTATTACACAATATTAAGACTTATTAAATTTAAGAATTAAAACTTTACTCTTACTACAATATTAGGTAAACAAACCAACTACTTTGAAACACTAACTCAGTACAGAGATATGCTTATAATTTCAGTTGACGAACAAAGTGTGATAAAACGTCTCAATGCCTTAACAATAAATGGAGCAAGTGATGGAAACTGTTGTTCATGTTGTGGTGTTGGTCCTTTTGAAACCAGAGCCCAACAAACTGCACATTATAAACACCATTGGCACACCCATAACTTGAAACGGAAGCTGTTTGGGAAGGGTGCTTTAACATTGGGACAATTCAACTCAAGACACGGTATTATACCTTATATTATTTATAAAAAATAGTTATTTTATCTTAAAAAAATATGACGCTGGTGGAAATAAAAGCAATGACTACAACCCATCATGCCTTCAATCTACCAATATCAATAACGTAAATAGTAGCTCTTCTCTCAATAGTTTTAGCAACTGTTGTTATTCACCATTATTTTAAGTGCTTCTATAAAACTTTCTTATCTATAGTTCTTCAGCAGTATCTACTATAGTTTATGCGAGTAACACACATTTAAATAAAACACTTTAACGGTTTAAAACGCGATGTGTTAGTGGAGCTTATTTGAAAATGATTTTTAACTTCAGCCGGAGGTTTCGGATGTGCTCACGGCTGCTGCAAAGCATCCGAAACATCGGGCCAAAGCTAAAAATAGTTAAAATTAAAAATTGTGTAAACTTAATCATAATTTCTTTTCCAGATGACAATTCAAGTGTATCAGGCAGTGATTCAGAAACAGAAAGCACTAACTCAACACCGGCCAGTGACTTATTTGCAGCTGCAACAAGACATTGTAAAGCATTCTTTACAAACAAAACTGGCCAAGTATTTTGTATATACAGATGTATTTTGCATCATAAGAAGGTGCGATTATTTCTTAATAATCTTTTATGTATGATTTTAATTCAAAGTTTTCTGTAAGTAGTAAATTTTTGGTTCAAGGAGGAACTGTCAACAGACGGTGAGGGCTTTGCATGGATAGAGAGATGCCAGCGACTTACAATACCAGGGTACCAGCGTTGGGCAGTGCTCATGGTGTCTGGAGGTCATTTTGCTGGAGCGATATTTTCTGGTGCTGTTCCGGTAGTACATAAGACGTTTCATTCATACGTGACTAGAAGAGGACAGGGACAGGCTCAAAGCGCAAGGGACCAGCATGGAAATATGCCTCGTTCAGCCGGTGCCAGTCTACGAAGGTATAACCAGGCTCAGTTCTTGGAGGTAAAGAGATACTATAGTCTCAAAATACTACAAATTTGATATTATTAATATAGGCTTATCTTTGGTTTTCATTTTAATTCAAGTTTAGGGCAGAAGTAAGAAGATGTTGTATTTCTGTGTTGTTTTGTTGTTTGAATTTGAACTATGTGGTCACATTTTCACAAAAGCCAGAAACGGTTCCATCAACTTCTAAGTTAATTTGGACAGTTTGAGAAATAATCAGATAAATAAAATAGTTGCCTATTTTGGTAATTGCTGACAGTACTTCTATATAAATTATGACGTAAGTGTATTATTATATAACTTTTTGCATCTATATCCCATGCAGCATGTACAAGAAATAATATCAGCGTGGTCGGAAGATTTAATAGGCTGCTCCTTGGTGTTGTATCGTGCGGTCGGTTCGACTAACCAAGCAGCAATATTTGGAAAGAACTCGCCTTTAAAAAAAGAAGATTTGAGGATTAGGGTACTTCCGTTTCCTACGAGAAAACCCACTTATAAGGAAGTTAAAAGAGTACACGATACTGTTGCAAGCATAGAGGTTTATGGTAAGTTGAAATCTTTGAAATATAAAGACTAGCTGTGTCAGCGACTTCGTCCGCGTAGAATACCTAATTTGATTTTGCAAACCTCTTCTTTAGGGTATCTTGAATTGATTTTTCGTAACGTACGCAACTGAAACACAAGGATGTACAATTTACCCCGGTTTTTTTTTTACATTTTCCGCTCTTTCTTTGCTTTGCTCGCTCGCACTGTGACTAATAGGGGTAGGCACAGTGCGAGTTTTTATACCCTATAACTTTCCTCGCTAAATACTTTAACTGACAAAACATTTTTCAACTCGAACCAGTTGTTCCTGAGATCAGTACGTTCAAACGAACAAAATCTTCAACTTTATATATTACTATGTATAGATTAAAATACAATATTGAAAGTTAATTACTTAATTTTATTTTTTCAGATACAATGGAATTATTCCAGAAAGCTCTAATTGCGGCTACTGGTAAGCCAAAAACGGGCGCAGATTCAAATATAGAACGCAAAAAGCCCCAGAAAAGTCCAGGGAAACCGATAGATAGGGCGAAGTCTCGCGAGCGAACACCCAGAGAACTACCCACCCAAATGATGTCCAGTGAAGATGAAGGTCCGTGTTTCATAGATTCTGAAACTCCAGTTGGTAAGTGCTTTAATGCTATAAAATTAGTTTTAGATATTTAATTAAAAATATTGTTTTTGTCAGTAATATTCAGTTTATTTTTCTCTTATTTATAAATGAAAGACAGCCTTATTTATTTGCCATCATACATTACATAATTATAATAGTCTTAAAATTCTAAAGCAAGAGGTCCAGATGGCAAAAAGGGAACCGCCATCAGCAAAGTACCGTCCATAGAGCTACACTGATTTTCATTGCGTTTGACGTGGCTTATTAACATGTGACGTCTTAACGCGATAAATATACTATATATATATATATATATATATATGAATATTATGCATTAAGTAAATGAATATATGTAACATAGAATTAATGATAGATAATGTTTTATAAAAGAAATTTATTTAATTACTTAGACAATATGTTATTGAAAAATTAATAAAAGATCACTCAGCCGACGTTGCTGCAAGTGGCAACTACATCTGGTGTTGCAACAATATTAATTTTATTTGTTTTTTAAACTAGCAACTTACTATGAAGCTAAAATCAGCTTTTAAACACAGTTCTAAGCAGTTGCTTCACGTAGGAGGTACGCAAACATAGATTATTTAGCGTCTGCTCCACACCCAGGTTCTGACAACTAAGATATTTTACACTCATTTACCTTACTTTCAAGGCTGGATAAAAACTCTATCGGAACAAAGTTCCAAAGGCGTCATAACCAACTCGAGGAAAGACCTGCTCATAGACAATAACTCAGTTAGCGCGAACAGCTCTTGCAGTGAGGAAAACAACGTCGAAGAGAAGAAGATTAAAAAGAAAAAGAAGAAGAAACCGGAAGAGAAACAGGACAAAGTTAAGAAGGTGCACGTGAAGATTCCGACGAATGTTAAGAAGGTATTCATTTTAGTGCTCAATATTTGAAATAAAAATATATAAAGTACATAAAAAAAAGTAGCTGCGTCCGCAACGTCGTCCGCGTAGAATAATTATTTTGGGCAACATATCTGTTTTAGCAAACAACCTCCTCATCTTAATAGATTACGGCTGTTACCTACCCATGACGACTTCCCGTAGACATACTATCGCGGACATTTTTTTAGATAAGATTTTCCTTTGCAAGATTTTCCTTTGCATCACTCGTATTGGTCGCAGCCTGATATTTTAAAGCCTTCCTTGATCTCCAACTAATAAAAATAATTTTTCGATTGAACCATTACTTCCTGAGATTAGCGCGTTCAAGCATAAAACATTAGCTTTATAATATTAGTATAGATGGAACATGCGCTTTTGGAATTTTCAGATGTGGAAAACGATATCAAGCATAGAAAATACCCTAGACACCATTTTGGAAGCCTGGGAGGGCGATTTGGAAGAGGCTTGTAATACGCAAGACCCGAATGATGGCAACACAGCACTGCATAAGGCTGCAATCGCTGCTAAACCAGATATGGTGACGTGAGTATGAAAGTTTTTCAATAGCAACTATTAAGTGTGGGAAGATTTTTTTTAAGACAACGGTTTAAAACACGAAACATATTAGTAAACTTATTTTTCTATTTCCCGATGCTTCTTATGCTTTGTAGCTGTGGTTTCCCAGTGACCCTATACAGCTGTTTTATTTAAAAGAATAAAATTGATAATTAGAAATAAATTTATTAAGTCACACAAAGACATAAGACTTATTGCTAAATATAAATAATATTGGCATATTAAGTAAAAAAATACCATAATTTAATCTTATTAGTATAAAAATGTTTTTAGTATAAAATTTTCACTTGTTGTTTGGCTACTTTAAAATGGCTATTTTAATCATGATACTTTTGACATATAAGTACAGAAATATCAATTTCTTTTAAATTCTTCTCAGTCAAATCCTCTCTGCTGGTGGCAACCCCTGCATCAAGAACCACCAGCTTCAAACACCCTACGCGGCGACCCCGCACAACGACACTCGCATCGCCTTCAGAATGTTCCAAGCTCAGTTCCCAGATAAATATAACTATAATAAGGTAAGTTTCAAACAATACGATTGATGGTTTTAAACCCAAAATATATTAGTTGAGTTATTTTATTTATGGCCCGACGTTTCGGACGCTTTGCAGCAGCCGTCGTGAAGGGGGGAACTTGCTTAAGACTACGTAGGATATTGGTAATAGTTTAAAACGCGAAATATATATAAATTTTTTACAATACATTTACAATTCGTGTTTTAAACTGTCATTATTTTATACAAATGTGCGCTACTCGCGTAAGCTACATAAAGTGTTATTATTATTTTGAAAATATAAAGATACTAATATTGAATGCCAATTTTTTTATAATGCCCCGGCCATATTACATCGAAAATAGATGCGAAGTCAACCTAATGTTCGCATATCACAGACGCGATTAAACTTCTCGACGTCTTTTTTTGTGACCCGGGTTGAATTAAAAAAAAAGTGATTTAATTTTGTTTGGTTTAATTTTTTATTTTATTTGTGTTTGTATTAATGTTTCGCTTTTCGAAGTATCATTATAATTCAAACTGAATTTTAATATTTTTTTTTGGACAGACTATATTAGCAAGCATTTATAATATTAATTTTCAGTCCCAAATACCGGGCCCTCTGACCCCCGAAATGCTTGAGTTGGAGAAAGAGAAAAAGTTGCAACAGAAACGCGCGAAGAGACAAAGGGAGAAGGAGAAACAAGCGGAGAAGAATAAGAGTAATTATTTCCTGCAATTGCCTGATGCTCAGAAGGTAAGCTCGTATTCAATTTCAAAAAAAACATAATTGATTTAAACTTAAAAATTATTTTTCACATGTTAGTCCACGTAAAAGCGGGTGGGACTCGAACTGGCACCCATAGCGTTCTGTGCCAATTGAGCCACCATGTCAATTGGTTAAAGCAACAGCAGGAAACGCTGCTTAAGCCCGTTCAAGTCTAGCCCATGTCGTATTTTTTAAATCTTAATATATTTTTAATTTAAGTAAGCGATGATTTAAAGAAAATACTCATAACTGTTTTAAACGCCAAATATATTATATACGAGTTATTTTTTAAAAATCGAAAATAAATTAAAAAAATTTTCGACTCGGCTAGTACTTGAACCGGCATCGTCAGCGTTCCGTGCTGTTGCTCTACCAATTGAGCTAGCGAGTCCTACCTATACTTATTTTTATTTTTTGTATTTTAACTACAGCCTAACGTTTGTAATGTTTTGCAACAATATTTTGTAGTAGCAACAGCACAGAATGCTGTAGAATTTGAATTTATTTAAAGACTAACATTGTAATTTAATAATAGTTCGAAAGTAAGCACTAAAAACAAAAACAAATTAAGACGCGTCTGCGGCGAAGATTGTAACATTGTAATTACCGTAATACATTGACCTTCTTTTAATTGAATCAGAATCATAGTAAACATTATTTTTCGCAGGTAAAAGCCGAAATGCCGCGATGTTTCCTCTGCGGTTCGAGTCTGCCAAAGGTGCCCTTCGAATACGACTCCTACAAGTTTTGCACCATCAAATGTCTACAGAACCACAGGAATGTGAGGCCGTTGCATAAAAGTGCTTGAGTAGTGGCTGTAAATAAATGGATACATCTTATGTCGTGTTTTATTATTGATTGTTTTAAGTATTGCCTGTAGTTTACTAGTACGCGTTTCAATAAAAACCTTTTAACGGTTTAAAATGCGAAATATATAAATTACATCCAAATACCCACTACGCCACCACAGATGACGCTAGCGTAGCAGTTTTGCTTTGACAGAAAAAAAAAAAAAACACCCCCCCCCCCCCCCCCCCCCCCCCCCCCACAAAAAAAACCCCCCCCCCCCCCAAAAAAAAAAAAAAAAAAAAAAAAAAAAAGGGGAGAGGGGGGGGGGGAAAAAAAAAAAAAAAAAAAAAAAAAAGGGAAAAAAAAGAAAAAAAAAAAAAAAAAAAAAAAAAAAAGGGGGGGGGGGGGGGGGGGCCCCCCGCCCCCGGGGGGGGGGGGAACCCCCCCAAAAAAAAAAAAAATTTAAAAAAAAAAAAAAAAAAAAATTCGGGTTTTAAACCCCGAAAGGGTTTTAATTTAAAAAAAAATAAAAAAAAATTTTCGGGAAAAAGAAAAACGGAATTTTCGCCACAATCCCGTTCCGAAACACCGTCCACAAATGAAAAAACCGTGAAGCTTAATTGCGTTTCCGTTTCAGTCTGTCGTATCCGAATTTCCTATGCTAAGATAGTTTTCGCGCATCTTGTTTAGATGTTTACGGGATATCCACCTATCCCATACGTGTTTGCCCTCATCTATCATAGAAGTTTAAGTCTGATCTGAGAACTACTGTTCCAAGGCAGGGCGGCACCTAGTTCTAATCTCCTAGCTGGTCTACACTACACTTTAATAGATACCAAATACTGAATTAACAATCCGAACCCGCGACCTTGTGATGTGCAGTCGAGTGCACTAATCACTAGACCAACCAAGTGGTCTCAAAATGGAAAATTAATAATAACTAGCTGTGCCCGCGACTTCGTCCACGTATAAGGGTTGTTTCGGGTATCGAAATTTGTCTAAGCAAACCTTGTCCTTATAAATTAAAGCTGTTGCCTACGACGTCGTCCGCGTCGTTTTTAGAAAATTAATATTAAACATAGACGTATATTGTTGCTGACATTTAAAGAGGAATCATTCTTTCATACATATTTTATTTTTAACCGTTTACGCACTGGAAACCCTCAAAGATTAATATTTTTTGCCCGTTTTTCCACATTTCCCCCTATTTCTTTGCTCATTATATATATATCAGTCTTAGTAGTAGTAGAGCCTTCCTCGATACATTCTATAACCAACACAATAAGATTTTTGTACTTCGATCCAGTAGTTTGCGAGATGACAAACAAACAAAAAAGCTCTTCAGCTTTATAATATTATTATAGTATAGATATATTTCCAGTGAAAATATTTATAAATCAACGATAACAACATAAAATACAGTTAACTGTGAATTTTGCGTCCTTGGTATAGCTGACCTTTTTGTAAAGTTACCGGGCGTTACGACTAGGTCGCTTCAAGGGGCAGCCAATATTTGTTTTACCTAGAACTAGGATTTATGGAATTGTACTGTTGTTACAATAGACACGGACAATACAGTATGCGTAGAAAAAAATTTATAATAGTTATAAATAGAGGTATTCGACTTTGTAGAAATTCTACTAAAAATCGATTTTAGATTAGTATATCGTACACGGTAGTTTTATACAGTTTATTGCGTTTTAAACCGTTAGTTCTACTCGCGTAAACTATAGACAGTATTTAATACTAGTTTTTAAAGATGCTGAGACACTGTTCACTGTCACAAGTGATCAATATGAAATGAAGTATTACATAAAGAGTTGAATCAAGAGAAATAAGTAATATGATACTAAATTTCTCCAGTCAAACTAAAAAGCCCAACGCAACATCACATTTTGACTTATAAAACGTCACTCGCTCACGGTTCAAATTCCTGGAAAAAAAATATACATTCGAAAATTTTTAATACAGTAAAGACATAAATATCGCTCTATTACAGCACCCTTGTTTTCTCCTCGTGAGATTTAATAAATAGTCCTTGTTTAATAAACACTAATTTGAATGTCCAAAATGAATGTCATCCCTAGAGTGTATTTTTGTGTTTTTGCCTGTTAGCTTATAAAGCTGCTGTTGCCAAATGTTGTAAAGTTTGTTTGATCGATGGTTACTCAAAAACTACTGTATCCATTGTGGGATACGGAATAATCGTGTTAATTAAAAATAAAAAAATCTGCGTTTGCTTGCATAGCAATATCTTAAAGAAAGTCCATATAGCTATAGTGTTCTAAACTTGGTGTGAGTAAAAATGGAGGGTAAAAAACATTCACAACAAGGAACATAGAATATAATATTCCGCAAGCCTTATGGACACATACAGGATCGGAAATCGAAGTAATGACTTCACGTATCAGAATCACCTCACAACTTGTCTTTCAAAGCGAGCTAATTATTTTCATACGAGAGAAAGTTAAACAGTGATGATTTATTTCGAAAATATTTACATTCCTCCGCACCACGTAATCTTTAACTGTCCTTTTGCCGCGCTCATTGTTTTTCCGATCACTAAACAATACTAACAATAGATCGTGCTTTTCTATGCGCGTACGCTCTACAAAATTACGATTTTTAGCATTTGCATAGTGTATGAAAATGCGAATAACAGTTGCTACGCGATTGTGTACTTTAATACAATACAATAGGAGTCGAAGCGGAGAAATGGGCGGCAAAGTTAAGGTTGCGAGAGACGTGTTTCGGTGCGGTGCACACGAAGTCGGCAGTCGCGAGCCCATTGAGTGTGGTTCCGGTGGGGTCGATCACCAGTGAGACCTCGCCTTAACGCTATTCGAAACTTACTCGCGTGCACGACGAACGTTACGCGCCAAAACCGTTTCAAATTCGAACTTTGGGAATAGACTATATTTTTAATGTAATTAAAAATGTTTGAGTGTTCTGTGTAATATGAAAAATAGATTATTATCTGTGCGCCATTTTTTGGCGGTTGTTAAGTAAGAACTGGGATATTGGAGGATTTTGTGGCATGTTTGTTTGTGAAAAGTTTTCAAAATGAATAAATTAAGTGGTGACTGTTTTGTGCTAGTTTTTCTTATTTTTTCGAGTGCCGTTGGTATTGGTAAGTTACTACGATTTTAAATAACTTTCACATAAACTATTTTACAAAAATAATAAACTAACATAATATGTATTTATGTCTTATTGTATTAAGTTTTTTAATAATAATTCATTCAGTCGTATATAATTAGATTGGGTAATATTTCTGGTTCATATTTTAATAGGAATTTCTCAACATAACTATATTTAATGATTAATAAAAAAAAAATTCACGTGAGAATATAAGTTTAAGTAACAAATAAATACGTAATTACTAATTTTAATATTACGAGTAATGGTTATAATATGATTACACAACAGTAAGTCACTGCGTAGGTACTTAACGTAGATTAAATATTTTATTATAAATAGGTATATACGCAATAATATAGATAACTATAACCTGGATCCACATCAATATACATATAAATGTATATTGTATGTGGATCATGCCTCTAACATTTGGTCAGTAGTATCTCACCTATATTGTCGTTCTATAATATCTATACCTCTGGCTATACGTATATCCTTATTTTTTGTCCCTCTTCCGTGACCACTCATAAGGATTCTGAAGACGATAATTGTATAAACTGCTCAGTATTATCCTTAATGACCAAATGGTGTCTTACGTTTTTATACTCTTTTTTTTAACTAACACTTTTTGTGCATAACGGAGCTACGAGCCAATAAACTGAAGTTCCGTATGTTGTACATGTGGTTCCGTATGAAAGTTAATAAAAAAATAAATCGTCGAGTGTACTTGTTGTATGTCAACGAATATAGAATATTGAGTAAAAGGTAGAGAAGCCCAAACATGGCTAATTTTTATTGCCTAGTTCACATTATATTTAAATAAAACACTTTTAACGGTTTTAAAGGCGAAATATATTAGTTGACTTATTTTTTTAACTACTGCCCGACTTTTTTGATGTTTTGCAGCAGCCGTGGTCACGGGGAGACGAAAGATGGAGGGCGCTTCTTAAGTCGTATTGAAAAATCTGGTACTCTATGCCACGGCTGCTGCAAAGCATCCTCGTCATTTTAAACCTTTAAAAGTATTATATTTAAATGTGTACTACTTGCGTAAACTACAGACAATGCTTCATTCGTGTTTCACTTAACGAAATTATGACTCAGTAATGTTTGCTTAAAAAGTTGAACGGAATAATCGATTTTAAAATTACTGATGTGTATGTCTGTAGATAATTTTATTCTGACATCACTGAAAAAACACATGCTTCTTTTAGATGTGGGTAGGTAAGTTAACTTTGTTTTTTTTAATATTTTTATTAGCCCGCCCATTGCACTCCATATGTTTGGTATATAAGTAGTGTTTGTATTTAAAACAAAATCTTTTGTGCAATGAAGTGTTAATAAATAATCATAATATTAGCTTAGTTGCTTTAATAAAGGTTGGTATTAAACGCGCCATTATGTATGTTTTATGTCGAAATCGAACCACCCTAAAATTATATGATTTACAGGTATCACTTAACCAGTACGATTATGCGTTGTATTCGATTAACGCAAATAATTCGGAATTTACATATTTTGTGGTGCGGATTAGGCAGGGATTAGGTTACCATGGTAACCATAATCCACAGTATAATTGCGGTGTTTTGGTGTAATTGTGAAATATTTCGATATTTTATTACGTTTATATATTTCAAGTTGCTATACCAACCGTAAAACTCCGTTTCCGCTAATTGGTGCTAGGTGTAGACACATTTGTGTGTCTGTTTCACTGATGGATTTTATTAACAAATAAGTTTGACGGGATTTTTGGTATAATGGTGGCAATGTACGGTTTATAATCAACAAGCTGTGGGTTCGATTCCCATCGGGTCCAACTGTTTCAAATTTTTCAATTTACAATTTTCTGGAAATCTGGATATTAAATGGAGTTGGGAA